CCTGGCCATTTCCTGCGTTGTGAAACTAATTCTTTGATAACATCGTTGTCTTGGCTCTCTTCCATGGGTCTCCAATTCCATCAGGTCCTCATTAATCAGCTCCTCATGGTGCACAGCAAGGAGTTCAGTGAAGTCATCCTCTTCCTGATATAGTTCCAGCTTCTTGCTAAGAGTCACTAAGTTGTTGAAGGCCTCTTTGGACTCCTTACCCAATTTCTCAATCCATGAACTTCATGAAGAAACCACAGCAAAGGTTCTTCCAAACCCCATTCATGGTGCCAGCCAAAACCTCAGGCAGGCCAAGCAAAGTTAGTATTTTTTACTGCCTTGTAGAAGTTACAGTCCTTCCAAAATTGTCACAAGGTTGTCCCTGTTTCATCGATTGCCTTTACTGCCCAACAAAAAGTGTGACATAAATAATATAATAAATAATATTTCTTGAAAGTCACAAAGACTCCTTTGACCATGGGTTGCAAGAGTGCCATTGTATTCAGTGGCAGATGCCCTACTTTGACATAGAGATAAGTCATCTGTGAATTGGGGGTGACCAGATGCATTATCAAGCAGCAAAATAAGGTTGAGTGGGATAACTGTTTCCAAACAATATTTCTTTTTCTCTGGCATAAAGTGGTGGAAAACTAAGTTGTGGAAAATGGCCTGTGTAACCCAGACTTTGGAGTTAGTCCTCCACACAATAGGTAGAGAGATGTTAGCTGTGCTTTTGAGGGCTCTTGGGTTCTCTGAATGGTAAATTAAGAGAAGCTTTAGTTTCATATCACCAGAAGCACTGCCACCAAACAGAGTAAGACTGTCTTTGCTGCTTTGAAACATGGCATCAACTTTTCCTCTTTACTGATATAGCTTCATTCTGGAATCTTCTTCCAATACAGTCCCATCTCATTGATTTTCAAAACCTGTTGGAGTAAATAAGCACCTTCCTCAATAATTTCTATGAGTGTTGCTGGAAATTCACAGGCATCTGTGCTATCTGCACTTGCAGCCTCTCCACTCATATTTGATGCTGTGATGGTTTGCCCGAGCTTCAACTCTGTTAATCCATTCGTGGCTGACAGTGACATTGTCACTGTTTTTCTTCAAGTCTTCAAACAGGCTTTTAGCTTTTTCTTGAGTAAACATTAAACTAAGTGGGACTCAATGCAGATGCCGATCCTATATCCACACACTGAGAAGTCTTTCCATCTCCTCTACTTTTCTACATGTTTTGGGTATTGTTATTGACTTCCTTGGCATGACAGATTTCACATCTGTGAACTTCTCCTTGTTTTTTAGAATTGACCAGTGGTTGAATGATTCATGTTATAAGAATGAGTGACATCTACTATCTTTTCATCTTGGTCCAATCTCTCATTTATTTTCACTTTTGTTTTCCAATAGTTATGGCTTTGTGCTTCCCACCAGGCCTGTCCACATCACCACCATTTGTCCTCCTGCTTCCAGACATCCTGGATCCTAGTTCAGCACTGTACTACTGTACACTATTGCACTACACAGTAAGCACACAGCAACACAATTGTGACAATGTCCTGCAGACCCATGGTTTGTTTACCTCTACAAATGTTCCTAATGCAAGATCTGTTCATAAGTGTGAAGGTTCTCAACTCAAACGTTCATAAGTTAAAATTACTATTGTCTTGGTTACTTTTCTGTCATTACTGAGCCAAAATACACAGTGCCCAAAATTAAGGAAGGAAAGGTTTATTTAGCTCACAGTTTGTGGAGGTTTCAGTACATACTCACCTGGTTCCAAAGCAGAGTGGCACATGGCAGGGGGTAACATTTCGTGGTGGCACAAAACAGCAAAGCAACAAGAGCAAAAGGGAAGAGTGGCAGAGAACAGCCAGCCTCTTTCCCTCCCTTATATTGTAAGCAGGCTACCCCCACCAAGGGGGTGTGTAGTACTCTCATAATCTCCATGCCCTCCTCTTGCACAGGCTCAGTATGAATACAAAGTAAGCACCCTGGCTTCCTGCTGAATCACACAGTTCACCTTATAAACTTCTCAAGTTGACACAATGAACAACATCCGGAAGGGTAAGGGCATGTCCTTTTCACCCCAAGATGCAGAACTGCTGAGTCACTTAGCCAAACCTCTAGACTCCCCAAGTTGACACAATATATCAACCATAACAACTACCCTATAATGAATTGTGTAATTCTGAAGAAACTGATAGATACTTAAACATATATTAATTACCAAAACTGAACCAAGAAGATATAAAATTCTTGAACAATCTAATAACAAGCAATGAAACTGAAGAATTAAAGAAGAATACTACCAACTAAGAAAAGCCAAGGTCCCAACAGATTCACTGCCAAATTCTACACAAACATTAGGAAAGATCTCAATGCCTCCTCACACTCTTCAATGAAAGTATAAGGGAAAGATTACTCCAAAAGTCACAGCTGGAAGCTAGTGTTGCCCTGATTTCAAAACCAGAATAGAACCCAAACAAAAAAAGAGAAGTACCTTAATGAACGTAGACACAAAAATCCTCAACAAGATACTAGTACACAAAATATGACTGGCAGCACCCCTGATTGGAAGTCGTACTGTCACCATACTATGATCACCAACTTCCCGATCTTTTCCCAATGTTTGGACTCCTAAAAGAGCTCCAGAGTTTCAGAAAAGCTAGGCACCTGGCATCATCTCCAGTCCTCCCTGTCCTCATTTTCATATGGCATCAGGAACCAGGTTTGCTCTGTTCTACGGACTGGGTACTTTGTGAGTGAAAGAAAGAGAGTGCTTTTCCTTATGTGCACATTTACCATCCTACTGCACATTATTAGTGAATTCTTTCTGAACTATGGCAAGTTTTCTCAATGCAAACTCTGAATATAATCTTGAGTCTATCTAGAATAATATTCTTTCAAATTATTTCACTCTTTTTTTAAGGAATTTGGAAAATTTGTATCTTCTAGGGTTAAAGGAAAAAAATTCTTAACATCACTTGAAAGCTCTGCATGATCAGGTTATGGTTTTCTCTTCACCACTCATCTTCTCTGCTCCTGCTCAGTCACATTTACTTTCTTAATTTGCCCAGAACACCGTGACACCGTATTCTTTAAGGAGGATTAACTCTCAGCATGTGGACTACTCCCTCAGCCAGGGGCGTAGCTTATGTCCTTCCACTTCACCTAAATTATTGAAGCACAGCACAGACATGTCTGGCACATGCCATACACATTCTGACCATGATCAAAACTAGGACATGAGCCCCTGATGTTCCCTATCTCTTTTACAGCACCCACCTTTCTTCATGGCATTCACTATGATCCCAGGGAAATGATTGTGTCATTGGGCTGAAAACTGGTTTTTTGTTTTTGTTTTTGTTGTGGTCATCATTTTCAATTTTGCTTTCTCAAAAAATGTGAATTTATGAAGTTTAGAGATCTAGTTTCTTGTCAATCTTGGACAATGTTAACATTCTCTACTACAAATACATAATATATATGCATTTGTTGGGTACAAAAGAACTAATCAGTCAATCAATCAGAAAGGCACAAAGAATTTTCAGTTTTAAACCATTCCTCCGAGGCAATCATCCTCAGATAGGTCTTCCACACCCAGAATCATGCTGACTCAGCTCACCTGGGCATTCCTACTGAAGTTGACCATTGATTAGTTCACTACAGTATCTTTAGTTGTACTGTTGTGGCTACCTCACATGTCAAGAATCAATTGAAAATGTTTACCTTTTATGGTCATTTTACTCTGAGAAAGAGCCAGAATTCACATAGTACTAGATTCAGTGAATAAGAATAAGGATACACTGTAATTCTTTTATGAGCCTGCCTTTTTGTTAGATAGCACTCAGTGATGACATTCACGACGTTTTTATCACATTTCCTAAAGACAATATCAAAAAAGTATGTCCAGAACTACTTCAGAAAGTGACAACAAAGATGGGATAAGTGTTCAGTCAAAGAGAAGTATTTTAAGGAGGCTTAACGGCAATGTATCTTTTACTACTATAATTTTTTAAAATTTAAATGTCCACAATTTCATCATATATTTTGATTACATGTTGTATCTATTTCTCTTATTTCTGTCAGATTTTGCTTTGTATAATTAAAATCTATGTTACTAAATACATATAACATTAAACATATTTATTCTGAAAAAATCATTCAGTGTTATGAAACTCCCATTTTTATGTCTCTATATCTGTTCCTTCAAGTTTATTATGAATAATAACTAGTGTAACTCCACTGTCTCTTCTTGGTTAGTGTTCATATAGCATGTTTTTTCATATCCTCTTTTTTTCAATATTATGCATCCTTATATTTAAGGGGTGAGTTTTTTGTAAGTCACACATAGTTGGGTTTTGTTGTTCAATCCAGTCTAGCAATATCTTTCTTTGAATTGTAATTTTTAATGTTTACATTTACCATAGATACTAATATATAGATTTATATCTCCCCTTGTATGGTTTTTAGTTTTTATCCCATTTTCTTATTTTCCTTTTTACCTTGCTTTGTTGCTTTTTAAAATCAATTTTCAACTATTTCATTCTTCCTTCTATTTGCTTTTTATATTTTGAGCCATACTGTATTATTTACCTTCATGATTAGAATTCACATCACAGTTTTACTAGTATCCATGACAAATTCAAACATTTCGCATTTTCTCAGAAAGTGGAAGGATGGTGAACTCTCTAACTCTACTTATCTCCCTCGTTCTATACTCTTCTTGTCATATGTTACAATTCTAAGTACTTTTAAAATTTACATTGTGTCATTATTAGTTTAAAAGTTAAGTCCTTTTCTCACTAATGCCCAGTTTTGAGGTCTTTCTGAAGAGTTAAAGCCATGTAATGAGAGAGCCCTCATGCCACCCAGTGCTAAGCATTGGCCCACAAAATAACACACACTTCTGGCTACTGTACCCTCATCCTGGAGGTCGGTGAGTGACCCCCAAGGAAGACAATATCATGCTCTCATTAAAGCAGCTGGTGTAAATGTTGAATATTTTTCACCTGGTTTGTTTGTAAAGGCCCTGGACAACGTGAAGTTAGCAGCCTCATCTGTCATGGAAGGGCTCATGTAGGACTTTGCCCCTCTGCCACTGCTTTCCAGATGAGAGGAGTGAGGGGAAACAAAGAGAAGAATCTGAGGACTCTAGCAATGACATGGGCTTTGGCCTTAGTTCTTCTATAACACATTCAATGAAATCTGCAAAAGGAGAAGGAGGAGGAAATATTTATTTAGAATTTTACTCTATACATGTATCCTTTCTGGAACTTTTCAGCTATGCTTGCATTACATCAATTCAATCTGAAATGACTACCAATGTTTTATTACAAAAATATTGTGACAGATAACAATGTGAATGAATTTTGTAATCATCATATACTCACCACTTCAGCTCTACCATTAACATTTTACTAAACTCATTTCATCACATAAAAATTATCTAACCTTCCAGTCTTCTATTATTCAATTCATTTTCTTTTTAGATACACTTACTTTACATCTTTTTATGTATGTCTATTTTGTATTTATGTACATTGCTTTATATGCTACCTGCAAAATACTTTGGGATGCACATTAATAAATAAAATTTCATATCAGTTATTTTATTTTGAAATAAAATGTATCCAGTCTGTAAAGAATTACACAAATCTGAAGAATATCATTCAATGAGGCTTCTTTTTTGTTTGTTTGTTTGTTTGTTTTTGTTTGTTTGGTTTTTTTTCTGGTACTGGGAAACGAACTCACAACCTCGTGCTTGCCAGGCAGGCGCTGTGCTGCTGAGCTAAATCTCCAGCACAAAGGCTTCTTTTTTAAAATTTTTTTTTTGGTCTTTTTGAGACAGGGTCTCACTATGCAGTTCAGGCTGGCCTTGAGCTCACTTGTAGCCCAGGCTGGCCTTGAACTTATAGTGATCCTTCTGTCTCAGCCTCCTGAGTGCTGGGATTACAGACCTGTGCCTCCACACTTGGCTAATGAGGCTTCTTATTGACTTATTAAAGTGGTTTCTCAATGTGATTTCTAATTTGCATTTCCTTAACATGATATTGAACATTTTTTGATGTGCTAATTGTATATTTTCTTTGGTAAAGTATTTGCTCAAATTTTTTCTTCATATAATTCAAATGTTTATTTTTTATTATTGAATTGTAGAAACTTTATTAACTGTTGAGCCATTTGATGGTCAGTTGATTGACAGGTTGGTTGGCTGGTACTATGGGCTGAGTCCAAGGTTTTGCCCTAAGCTACATCCTCAACCCTTTATTTTCCCTTTTTTTTAAAAAAATAAGATATTGCTAAGGCACTTAGTTGCTCAGGTTGGATTTAAACTTGTGATTCTCCTGCCTCAGCTTTCCAGAGTGGTGGGATTAGAGGCATGTCCTATCACACTCAGGTAGAAGTTCTTTTTATATCTATCACACCACTCCTTAGAAATATTTGGAAATATTTTTTCCTAATCAGTATAGTTCTAATCCATCTAATAATGGCATGTCTTATGTAAGAAATATTTAATTTTAATGAAGTTAACTTACTTTTTTATGTTATTGCCTTTTCTATCCTATCCAAGAAAAAATTTGGCAACTTCTATGTCCTAAAGATATTACTCTATGTTTTCTTTTATAAATTTTATAATTAAGGTATTATGTTTATCTTTATTAGCCATTTCAAGTTAATTTTTGGTAAATATTAGATGGTATTTTGGGTTCATTTTCTCCATATTATTATCTAATTGTTTTCATCATGTGTTTACCAGCCATTTCTTTCAAATGATTTGAATCTTTGAATGAAAATCAAATGCTGGTCTAGTATCAGGCTCACTATTGTGTTCCACTGATCTGTAACTCTTTATTTAAATTACAAACTGCATTCATTTCTGGGCTTGTAGTAATTCTTGAATCAAATAGTATGAGCCCTTCATCTTCAATTTTCTATTTCAAAATTTCTTTTGATATTTTAAGATCCAAATCAATTTTAGAATCACCATCCTTACCCAACATCAAATTCCTCTGCCCTCTAATTTCCAGGAAAATATTCAGCATGAATTCTTCCCTAAAATTCAACTTAGGGGCACAAACCTTACTCAAACTTGAAAGGCAGTTGAGCAAAAATCTTCTCATTCTTTGTGCAGACCTTCAGCGTATCATCCCCATTCGTCACTTTCATCCGCCTCATCTAATTAGGGAATTGATATATTTATTTAAATTATGTTGACTTATCCAAGTGTAATTCTGTAAGTAGTGTTCTCTAAATTCAGCATCAGCAAATAGAAATAAAATTACTTGTGGCTATAGAAAAGACTTTTCTTTTCCAAATCTCTCTCACTCCCACAAATTTACATATACATATTTAATGTTTTTGCTTCTTTTAAGCATTTACTAGACTGAGATTTATTCACATATTACCACTCAGCTTCTGAGAAGGAATATTGTATGGCCAAAACAGAGATGACTAAGACCCTATTCACTTATCTAAGAAATAATCCTGGTTGTATACAAAGTAGTAGCCTCTTCACCAAATGCCTTCTAAAATCCACAAGTCAAGGGTTCAGATTGTTCTCAGAGTTATCAGACCCTCACATATTGTTTTTCCTCATGGTTGATGTGATATGGACATTTCAGAAACCTGCCTTAAATGTCAACCAGGTTTTTATTTTGCTTTTAAAGTTAGCCTTACCATTGTGAAAACACTCTCTATTTCTTTACATTTCGCATTATTTCTTGTTACCTCTATAAAACAATAATTTAAATTCTTCTACATTTATTCTCTTAGATAGAAATAGTTAAAGTTCTGACCTTGCCACTTTTACACATGAGATGACTTCGAATATGATTGCTCATGGCCAGAAACCAAAATTTTTACAAAATGCCTATAGCAAACCCTGAAACTAATCTTTTACAAGGATACTGAAACTCCAAAGCCTACATTTTGGGATAGTAGTCTGTTCCTTTTAAATTGGTTTTGTTTTTAGAGAATTTTAGTTTCACAGCAAAACTGAGCAAAAGGTAGAGAATTCCTATACATCTCCTATTTTCCATCTTTTCACCTGTACACAATCTCTCCCATCACAAACATCCTGCACAGAATGGTGCATTTGGTAGAAATGAGGAACCCACTTTAATATAGTATCACCACAAATCCATAGTTCACATTTCAGTTCACTCCTGGCAGTGTACATTCTTTGGGTTTTGACAAATGTACAAAGCAGGAAGCCAACATTATGATATCATACAAGAAAGCTTCACTGCCCCGCAAAGCCTTTGTGTTTGGCCTATTCATTTCTCCTTTCTAACTACTGTTAACAACCAATCATTTTATAGCTTTATCATTTCAGTTTTATTTAATCTCATATAGTTAAAATCATAAGAGTATGGAGAGACCTTGCCCACCACCACTCTACCATGAAAGGAGCCTTGATGAGAAATGCAGGAGAGAAGAGACCCCACCCATACCCCTTGTTATCATGAGCGCCTTGGTGAGCTACAAGGTGGGGGAGAGACCCTACCCAGTGCCCCTCTCACATCAAGGGGAACTTGGTAAGCTGTGCTGAACTGAGAGGAGGGAAAGACTCCATGCCCATAGCCCCTCTACAATTGCAAGAGCCTCCAATGAGAGGCACCCAGGTGCCTGGCCCAGCCCCCTATACAGTAGGACTGGTAGCCATCATGGGAAGTGCCTGGGACATGGCAATTTGTTCATCTGGAGGAATGCAGGGTAAATCCACTCTAACAAGGGGAAACACTTTATGTACAAACTCCTAATTTAAGATTGGTTCTGTTATATAACTATAGACTTTGCCCCAATGGCCCAAGGTACAAAATTAATAGTTACCATATTTTGTCAGTTTATAAACTGTACTTGATGCTATTATTATTACTAATTGTACTACAGTAGCTAGGATGGCATATCTGTTATAATCAGTTGTTCTCCCTTGTAAAGCAATATTGGGTAGCTCTGGGATCATGACCTTACCACACCCTACACCAAAACAGTGGTGACAGAGACAAACAGAAGTCAACATTCTACTCTTAATTAATTGGAAAAGTAGGATCTTGAGACAGACACAAACCAAGAATCTCCTATACACAGAAGATATCCCTGAAGAACAGACTTTTCATAGGCAGGTCTTGATACTAGTGATATAGCTACATACTAAAATCCTTACATGGATAATCACAGAAAATAAAATTTAAAAATTTTATGAAATAAAAAATGTCAAGATAAAGGAGCAAAATAAAATCTCAGACCATCAGCCCAACCAGGACAAGTCCAACAGATAACAATATGGAAGAAATTGGAAATTACACACATGAAGTTTCTGAAATGATAGCAACTGAAGTAAAGAAACAACTCCAGGAGGATATAGAGAAATAATCTCTCAGGTTAAAAAAGAGATGACAACAATAATAAAATAATTACTCAGCATATCTAAAGGAGACAGATAAAAAATAGAGTATAGGATATGATGGAAACCTTGAATGACCAATAAAAGGAAGAACTAGAATGCATGCAACAGATTCAAAGAAATATCTAGGAAATGAAAAATTCTATTGAAAGCTGGCAAAACCACATGAATGAAACTGAACATAGATTTTCAGACCTTGAAGACAGCATTGCAGCAAGTGACTGTGAAAGGAAAGTTCTCTCAAAAATATTAAGGAGGGGCTGGGGATTTAGCTCAGCGGCAAAAAGCGCCTGCCTGCCAAGCGCAAGGTCGTGAGTTCGGTTCCCGGTACCGGAGAAAAACCAAAAACAAACAAACAAACAAAAATAATAAGGAACCAGAAAGCAACAATTCAGCAGCTACAAGATGATGCAAAGAAAAACAAGATTTATGAGTGTTAAGGAAAAAACAGGAGGAGTCTATGTATGAAATAAAAAGATTATTTGCAAAAGTCATACCAGAATATTTCTCAAGAATGGGATAAGAATCAGACATACAGGTGAGGCATATATATCTCCAATTAGCCATAACCAAAATAAATCTACATCCAGACACATAATAATCAAGATCCCAGAATTTCAGGAAAAGAACAAAGTAGTAAAAACTGTTAGAGAAAAGAAATAGATCACCTATGAATGAAAATCCCTCAAAATCAGGGCAGATTTCTCAAAACAAATCATCACATTAAGAAGAGCTTGTTGTGAAGTATTTCAGGTCCTGAAAGAAAACAGCTAACAACCCAAGTTGATGTACATTGCAAAACTATCTTTCAAAATTAATGCAGACATAAGATAATTCCATGACAAAGAACAACTAAAGAAATTCATGACCAATAAAACAACCCTTCAAGGAGTACTGGAAGTTATTCCAGAAAGAGACAAGTTCCAAGAAGAATAATGGAAAAGAACCACGAAAGAGGGTAAGGAATTAAACAGGGGAAAAGTAGGAACCAACAGTACAAAAATAACATAACAAAGATAAGCCAATACATAGCAATAATAACCATTAATGTAAATGGCTTCAATTTACAGATCAAAAGAAATAGACTGGCAGAGTAGATCAAGAAACAAAATCCAACAATATGCTATATATAGCAAATATATTTAAATCATAAGGAAATTCATTTACTGAAAGTCAAAGGATGGAAAACAACATTCTATGTAACAGGAACCCAGAAAAAAGCAGGGGTAGCTATTCTGTTTGGAGACAATGTGAATTTCAAACAAATACTAATCAAAACAGATAAAGAATTTCACTACATACTTGTTAGGGGAAAACTGCAACAGGAAGAGATAACAATCATAAATATCTATGCACCAAAATACAGGAGCACCCAACTATATAAGACAAATTTTAACAGACATGGAAAATCACATAAGCGATAACACAATCATAACAAGGATTTTAACAACCCATTGTCACAAAGAGATAATCAACTACACAAAAAAGTAGCAAAGAAATAATAGAACTAAACCAAACTTGTGAACAATGGTTGCAGCTGAACTTTAGAGTGTTACACCCACAGAAATTTAGAGTGTAACAACAGAATACACATTAACCTCAGCTGCACGTGGGACATTCTCTAAAAGAGACCATACACTAACCCATAGAAAATGCTTAAGTAAAATGCAAAGGAACAGAATTATCCCATCCATATCATCTGTCCATAATGCAATGATATTGGAAATTATTGATAAAAGAAACCACAAGAACTCCATAGGCACAAGCAAATTAAGCAACACCCTATTTAAGAACCCATGGGTTGTACATGAAATGAAATAAAAAATCGAAAAATATCTACAATCAAATAAAAATGCAAACACAACTTACTGGAACCTACAAGATGCAATAAAAGCAGTTCTCAGAGTAAAATTTATAGTGGTGAATCTCACATCTCACATCAGAAAAACAGAACAAACAAAAATAAACAGTCTAATACTGAACAACAAGCTTCTAGAAAAAGAAGAGCAAGTCAATCCCAAAGCCCAAAGAAGGGAGGAAATTATAAAGATCAGAGCAAAAATCAATGCAATGGAGAATAAGAAAACAACACAAACAGTCAATGAATCCAACAGTTGGTTCTTTGAAAGCATACATAAAATTGATAGATCCCTAGTTAACTGCATCAAGAAAGGAAAGAAAAAAGCAAATACATGCAATAAGGAATCAAAAATGTGAAATCACAACATATGCTGTGGAAATTCAGAAGATCATCACTACTTACTTTGAAAATCTTTACTTTCATAGTATGGAAAACAGAAGAAATGGACAGATTCCTAGAAACATGTGAATTACCAAAGCTCAATCAAAAGATATAAAAATCCTGATTAAACCAATATCAGTTAATGAAATTCAAAATGTGATAAAAACTTACCAACAAAGAAAAGCAAGATGCTCATTGATTCACAGCTAAATTCCACTAGAAATTTAGAGAAGATTTAATGCCAATACTCTTTAAACTCTTTAATGAAATTAAAAGAGAAACAATTCTCCCTAACTCATTCCTGGAGGCAAGTATTACAGTGATACCAAAACCAAAGAAAGACCGAACCAAAAAAGAAAACTATAGGCCCATCTCCCCAATTAACATAGCTGCAAAAATCCTCAATAAAAACCTAGCAAACAAAATGCAGCAAATCATCAAGATTATTCACCATGACCAAATGGGATTAATCCCAGGGGTGCAAGAATGTTTCAATATACATGAATCAATAAATGTAATACACCATAT